CCTCAAGAACCTAACTTTAATCTAACCCCAAACTGAACAATGATTAACACATGTGAATGATGTTGTGAGTCTGAATAGTAAACAAAAATAACTAAAGGACCAAAGTACCTCAACAGTCTGAAATAAGCAAGTAAGCAGTGACAAGATGTCCACTTGGAGGAATATAGGAAAGAAAAAGTTCTTCTCAAAAATATCTATTGAAAAATAATGGAGAGTTGTTTTTTTTTTTACTGCCTGTATGGGTCCAAGTCTGTTACAGTAAAAATGAAAATCAGTGGTTGCATAGGTGGATTTAGAGAGGTTAGGAAGGAAACACTGAGGTGTGGTGGTTGCTTCTGGTTCCAGGAACATCGTTTTAAAAATTCCCTCTTTCTCCTTTTCACTTCTCAGTGAGCGACAGCTGCAGTATCCGCTCCAGCTCCTCATTCTCCCGCTTCCTCATCCTCTCTTCCTCTTCTTGAGCTCGAGCAGAGAGCTCCATGGCCAGGCGGAGGTCCGAGTCCTGGCTGGAAGCAGAGGGAGAACTCGCAGGGCTGACGCTGTCTCCGATTTCCACCAGCAACCCTTCAGGGATACTTCTGGAATAACATTGAAAGAAAGGAAGTCGGATCCAACCCTGAGCTGTTGCCGTTACTAAGCAACGGAGGAGGTGGGTGGAGCAGCCCTCTTGGTGAGAGGAGTTGCTAAAGTACTGAGTAACTGATCAGAACATTTGATTCAATATTTTAAAGTGATATCATCAGACAGACAAAAATGTTATATCCGGCACCTGGTATTTTAAAGACTAACATGAAATAAATAAGAAAAAATACAAAAATAACAGATTCAGAAAGCACTTTTCTTAAAAATATGACGTCAATATGCTTTGTTAGAACAGAACTACTCCTAAATGTTAAATTTTTTCAAAAATGTTACTCAAGTAAATTTAACTAGCAGTTATACAAACAGTCACCATGCAGTTATTAACTGCCCACTGAAGTTGGCTGATTTGAAATGTATGCCACACTTTTCAGATCTTTATTTGGGGGAGAAAAAAAAAACTGCAAGCATGCTTTTGCAAGGCAATGTATTTAGTGAACAGGCCTGGACCTACCCATTGCTATGGCTGCCTGTCATTGCATGTGAAAATTCTTCATTAGCATCATCCCAGCTCACCTATAAAAACACACAAACAAGAGGGACACTCAGAACATGCAGAACGTTAGAGAACGAGCAGTGGACAAAAAATGACGCGCTGCTGCTCTGACCTCGCCCGAGCCTCTTTGCGAGTCCAGGAGGCTCTGGTGGATGGCATACTGCAGAAGCTCATCATCATTGTTGGACATGGGGGTGTGGCGGCTGCCCCCTCGGCGGTGATAATTCGGAGGTACTTCGAACACTGAGGGACACACCTGAAATGGAGTTGTAGCTGTGGAAGGAGGGCAGAACCGAATGGAAAACAAGACGCACAGGAATTAGGAACATGGAGTTTTTTTTTTTTTTTGTTTTTTTTTTAAGACAACAAATGTGGCTGCGTCGCTACCTGTGGCTACGTCATCGTTTTCATCCGAGGACGTCGGCGTGGCTGCTGCCTCCTCTTCAGTGCGACATTTGTTTACATTACCAAATGTGATCCTGGCATTCAGCACATGAAACAGGGGAATCTCTGAGAAGATAAGAAAAAATCTTTAAAATGCTAATTTTTTTTTTTAAAGAAAAAAAAAGAAGAATAAGAAAGGATGTATTGGTTTGTACCTATTTTAACAGGAAATCCAGGGGGAAACTTCAGGGTTACAAAGTCTCTTAATCGTGCAAAATGGGAACTGGTTCGAGCCATGAGGTCAATGATGGGGGTCACCTGCTCCACCAGGGACAGAGGATGCTCCTCACTCATCCACAGTGTTCCTTTGAACCTAAGTGGATGAACATTACAGAAGGCATTCATCAAACACACACCCGGCCCGCTGAAGGTCGCACGTTAAAAACAGGAACTCTTACTTTTGCGTTCGAATCGTCAGTTCGATGGGACGACCAATGTCCCTGTCACCCAGGTCAAAGTCGGGGTTAAAATATTCCTCTGGAGTGATCGCAGTGGGGTTTGTGGCTGTGGCATACTCCAGAGTTAGGTTCTGCAAATTGGGCCAACAAACCAAAAATGAGCCATTAACTGAGAGGCGAAACAAATAATTGGATCTTTAATCGATACTGAAATGAGCATCTTACCCCCTGGGCACTTATGTGCTGCTCCACAGTCCCCAGCAAAGACTCTAAAACATTCCTTTCACCTATGAATGGAAAGGTTACATGTGAATTTATAAGTCTGGAGAAACCATCAAGTACGAGAAATGTTCTCCGCCTACTTTTAATCCTGGCTTTCTCCTCATCTGTTAAATGCTCCGTCCTCGTCCTGATGACCACGTTTACATTGTTCACACTAAAAACCTGAAAGAAAATAAACCGCAAAACCGAATGACCGGCTGTGCAGGTGCTAGTGGATAGGGAGTTTTGTTTTTTTTTCTAAATGTCAGCGGTGTAACTTTCTCAAACCTTTGCTTCAAATCCATTGACTGACTCGGTTTTGTCTGTTCTCCAACCTAAAATCCCAGATTTGCATCTGTTGGAAAAAAAAAAAAAATAAATAAATATTTGAGAATTTTTGCCACCTTAGAACAACCCTTCACAATGCAGAGAAAACAATAAGCTGTGATGGAGCAGCACCTTCCGAAAGGATTTCTAATCCTTGGGGTTATTAAAACTAATAGAGTGTTTTCTAACTTCCTTTGTTGTCAAAGCAACAATCAAATAGCTTAATTCAGACCTTATTCATATTGTTAAAACACCAAAGTCAAAGCTCAGACCCAAGTTGAATTGACAAAACAAATTCAGAGATGCTCTCCACCCATTCTGGCTGAGCTTGAAGTGTTTTCCAGAAGTACGGGCAAAAACAATAAGATTGGAACTTTAATGCATTGATTTTGATCAATTAAATACATACATTTTTACGCATTAAGAATTTTAATGCAATTAATCTCTCTTGGATGGGTTTGGCAAAACTGAACTTGGCACCGATGATAAGAACTGAATATATCCTCTCATTCAAGTCAAGTTTCTACAATAAATTCTGCAGAGATTCTAGAAATTGTTACTATGAGATGAGTACGAATCTATAAAGCCCTAATTAGAGACAAACATTAGCTGACAGTAAAAGAGATTAAAGAGCATTAGAGCCATTTGTGTTGTGACTGATGGCAACCAGAAAGAAACCTCGCCTTTCAAAAGCAATATCCTTTGTGTCCAAGAAGGTGTTGACAATAGGTGTTGTCAATCTTTTGGCAACTTCCTGTTCAGCTGGCTGCATCGACTCCAACGTGACTTCTTCCATTTCTTGGGATATGTTGAAGCGCTCAGTGTCGACAACGCCATCATCGTGGTTCACCTCCATTAACTCTGCATGGGAATCTGTGGGGGGCGGGGGGGGGTAGGCAAAATGTTTTTTTTACATTTAAACACCTTAGAGAGCATAGGAGTTTAAAACGCACACGCATACCGTCTCCTTTGAAGATGTAACTCCTCCGGCCTCTGATCCAGGTCATGTTGTCAAAGCCCAGAAGGGTGGCGTCAACCCGAAGGCTGGCGCCGCTTTTCCAAATGCGACAAACGTCACTTGGACATATCCGGGACAGAAGAGGGACTGCGGAGCAACGACACGAACAACGGAAAGAATGTGACTCTTAGCTAAACAGAAACAGCAGAAGCAGGTATGTTGTTTTGCCTGTATGACCTGAGGAAACCTTTATGCAAAGAGCTCTGGATGCTTGAGCATTAGGGAAAAACATGCCTGTGCCTTTATAATTAACATAACACGCACACGCGCGCACACACACACACACACACACACACACACACACACACACACACACACACACACACACACACACACACACACACACACACACACACACAGAAAAAAACTTACTCCAGCTGGTGAATTCCCATTTCATTTCCATGTAGAAGTCTGGAGACTAGTGAGAAAAAAAAGGTCATTTTTTTTATCCTACAATAGTAAACGTTTCCAGACTTACAAACATTCTGTTAAAAAAATAAATAAAGAATCTGAATAAAAACCTCCTTGATCTTCAGCAGCAGCTCAGGCACTCCTCCCAGAGCAGTGGAGGCTTTGAGGTAGTCTCTGCGCTGAAGCACTAACTGAACCATCTCTGGGTCTCCAGTGCTGACAGCTTCCTGCAGCACTGCACAAATACACAGAAGAGCATGGAAACCACAATGCCTGTTAAAATATCAGCATCGGTCCCCCTGGTATTGCAATTGTCCATTTGAAAACCTCAGTAATGATGGTGGTGAGTGTTTTACTGTAACTGAGGGAGAATGTTAAGCATCTACAAGAAAGTCCATTAGCAACAGATGAGAAGGGGATTGAGGAGCTAAAATAACCATGAGACTGACGTGAATATAGCACATGTAATAGACGATGAAGGACGGTGTTTTATAGCACTCCTTGGCTGATATGCAGCTGGCTAACCTGTCCAATGCTTGGCATTCTCTTTAGTCACTGAAGCGCCGTGTCTCAGAAGAACTCTGACCAACTCCAGGTGTCCGAGCGACACGGCCAGGTGCAAAGGTGTCCGACCCCGGGGGTCAACGGCCTCGATGTCATTCTGAAAAAAAAAAAAAAAAAAAAAAAAACATGCAATAAACATTACAAGTACAGAAATCGTGTCATACAGAACAGGTAAACACTCGAAGAGTGTCACAACAACAGACCACATTTACCTGAATGTCATCCCTGTGCAGTTGTACATACTAATTTTGGCAGCGGTTGATAATTACGCGAACCTGCGCAACCACACAAGCAACAGGTTTTATGAGTCATGCTGTAATTGACATGCAGTCATTGGTCAGTGGTGCCAAAGTCCCTATGTAAAAAGTCTGTATTAAATCAACTCAGAGGCACAGGAACTGAAGAGACATTTTTAATTGTAATTATTTCTTTTTTTATATACATCTTGTACAAGTATTCTTGTTATCTTTATCCAATGTTGCGTCTTGACATGTTTATTATACATTTGATATGTTGAGTGTAACAAATGTCTATGACTTCTGGATGAAACTTATTTTCTTTAATCACTAATTACAGACTGTGCAACAGATAGTTTCATGTCAATGGAGCTAATGGTACTTTTGGCAGTGTAGGTGGATGCAAAGTTCAGTAGCAAAAATTGTATCTGAATTTCCCTAAAGTTGGTCACGAGAAGGAAATATAAAGTGCTAAAAATTTTTATGGCAGACAACTGCATTTAAACTTGATAAAAACACACTGGATCGATATCAGCAGATGACACAGACGCCCAAGAAACTTGGAGGAAGAGTGAACCTTTCCACTCTTCCTCCAGATGTTGGGATCTTGATTTACAAATAAAATGCAACATTTATTTTCATCTAAAAAGAAAACTTTGGACCCCTGAGCACAGAACAGTGCAGTCTTTTATTTTTTTATCTTCACCTCTGGTAAGACATCTCTAATACTGTGAAGCGCTTAGTACAAGGAAAGCAACAGCTGCAGATGAAAAACTAAATGGGGAAGATTCTCTCAAGACTTCATTTGTTAGTAGTTTATAGATTTAACAAATGAGTTTTTTCTTCCATACAACTTTCCAAACATATGCTAGGATACAGGACTATTTGAGCCTAGCATTTTTAGGAATGACAGCTGGACTGTAAAGTCACCAGTCTTTCCCATGTTTTTGCAGGTCATAACGTAGCACTCATATTCAAAATAAACGTTAAATTGTTAGCCACAGACTTTTTCATTTCCAAATGAACAACAATACACCCCTGTGCGCGTAATCAATCAATATACCATGCGAGTTTCACTTTTGAATTCCAGGAATATATTAACTTTTCGATCCGTCTTGCAAATCAGAGATGCACCTGTTGTGCGCGTAATCAATCAATATACCATGCGAGTTTCACTTTTGAATTCCAGGAATATATTAACTTTTCGATCCGTCTTGCAAATCAGAGATGCACCTGTTGTTCCTTCCTGTTTTTCTAAGCAAGTTAATGTTGTGAGTGAGCTGATCAGGCATCAGGTAACTTTCCTGTGTGACAGCACAACATCTGTCAACACCCCTGGCCTACTTTCACAGGCTACAAACACAGCGAGCAACTAGCTTCTACTTTCATTTTGTGGTCTTATCGGCTAACCTGGTGTTTCTACAAACCTGTTGTAATCGTATTTGCTGTTCCAATTTCCTGTAGTCGTTCTCCCAAACTGCGGAATGAAGGGGAAACTTCCCTCGGATGTCTTCGCTAATGCTAGCCGTGGACATCTTCCTCTTTCTGGAGCCTTTCACTACTGGCTGTCTCTGAGTATTTCATCTATTATCGAAGCGGCTGCGGGTACACGCTAATTACAGCGAAATGTGCGCCATAACTCCATCGCTTTTGCCGCTGACAGCAGGAATGACACCCAGTCCAGTGACCAACTTCTGCCCGTAAGCCTTCCTCTAAATAAAACTTTTGAACAAGGAAGTGCCAGGAGCAGCACCTAGCAACAGCAACAGGGGTGTCCTGCACAGGCATACACTCACAGTGCTGACTTATATCATCCGAATCAAATTTCGTAGGAGCTGACTTTAAAATGGTAGCTCGTCCGTTTGTCTGGAGATTTGTTGCTGACGTTGATGTGACACAGAAACGGATTTATCAGCCGCAAGCATCGTCTTTACCGAAAATAATAGACAGTTCCAGGTTGGACTAAACCATTTTACGTGTCAGTACGGGGGTAGGGGGAGCTAAATAAAGACTTCCGGAAATTGATCGGTAAATAAACTGATTTCCCTTTATTTCATATTTAAATATTAGGTAATTAGTGCATATTATTGTATATTACAGTAAAACGGTTGATGATATTATCTGCTTGTGTTTAACTGTTATAAATATATTTCGTATTTCCCCTCTGACGTTTAGGTGTTGTCAGAACGCTGACGGTTCAGGGGAGGGAGATTGGAAAAGTGAAACTGCAGTTGAGGTTTGGTTCTTTACAAGATAGTAGGTGCTTCAAAACACCTTTATATTATCCCATGGTCTTCCAGACTCTGTCTCCCACCTTTCCCAGCCCAGTTTAGCTCATTTTAAAGGTATAAATACAGATTTTGCTGCGCTCTAAGATGTCATATCTTCCACCAGGTATTTGTTGAAGACACTGTTCTGTTTATATGTACTACCCGTAAATCCGCCCTACCTTGTGGTAATACGCATGCGCACATCGATGCTACGTTGGGCGTCATTATGCTAAGTTTTTCATTTATCTGACAGCACCCTGACTAAAACTGATCCTCCATGTTGTAGAAAGCAATTTGGACAGCAGAAAAAAGGTACCTACTCTATATTACCTGAGTTACCCTGAATTTGAGATCTCTAGTTCAAAATTTGAAATACCTTGACTAGCCAGACCTTATTTAATGCTTTCTTGGTATGATATATTTATTCTAACATCTAACGTCTCTGCAGACCCCACACATCCTGGACACAAACTGTTTAGATTTTTATCTTCATGTTGGTGCTACTGGGCACTATTTACAAAAAGGAAAAGAATCTGCTGCCAAAAAAGACAGCTTCTTCCCCCAGACTATCTCTGATAGACACTGAACAGAGTTCTGAGATTAGTACCTTGCATGTTTGCACCCATCCAACCTTGTTTTCCTCTTTGTAAAAACACTATTAAATACATTTACAAAAAAGAAAAAGCTTTTTTTTTTGCCTATTTTTTATTTTATTTTATTTTATTTATTTTATTTTATTTTATTTTGCCTTTTTGATATATTTGTATTTATGGAGAGAAAAGAATCAAAGTCAAATGATTTTTTTGTGTGCACAAATTTGAAGAATAAAGCTGATTTTTATTCTGATTCTGAACATGACCAGCACAGTTGTGGCAATCTTTGTGACATTGAGCATTGAAAGTACAGACACTTTAATGTTTCCAGGTTTCACAATAAAAGGCTTTCGTTTTCTTTTCAAAGGAGGTATGGGGTTAGCAGAAGAAGTAGAAAACCCAGAGTGACTTTCAAGAACAACCACAAATTAAAGCTCCGCGGAGCCTCAAGCGGCCCTCGCAGCCAAGCGCCGCTCAAGCCTATAGCCACCGCGGATGTTC